TCAAAGATTTAAAAGAAGTAATGGACAGATTGAATAAATAGATGGGGACACCTCAGCAAAGAAATGGAAGCAATTAGGAAAAAAATTCCAGAACTAACCCATATGCAATTATAAATTAAAAATTAATTGGGTTGGCTTAACAGCTACTAGATACCACAGAAAAAAAAGGGTCAGCAAACTTAAAAACTTAAAGGTGTATAAATTGTTCAAAGTGAAGAACAGAGAGAGGAAAATAAAGTACAAATCTTGGTAACCTATGGGATAATACAAATTGGTCTAAGAAACACATAAATTGAAGAGCTATAAATTGAGAAGCCATGAATAAGGAAAAAACCTGAAGAAATACTGCCTAAAATTTATCCAAAAAATTTTTTTAAAGGCAAATATTAGTCCAGGAATCACAGCAAACCCTGGGCAAGATAAATACACAGAACATTGCTGAACACCAAAGATAAAGTCAAATCTTAAAAGCAGCTATTATATACAGGGAAAAAGCAATGCAAACAACAGCTGACTTCTCAAGAGAAACAATGGAGGCCAGGACAGAAAGAAATGATATCTTTAAAGTGTTGAAAGAAAAAAATATCTGTTAATCTAGAATCTACATGCAATGAAAATATCTTTAAAAATTTTAGAATAAAGATATTTTCAGATAAGCAAAACTTGAGAGAATTTGTTACTAGCAGGATTTATACTACAAAAAATGTTAAAGAAAGACTTCAGGGTAAGGAAAATGACACCGGATGGAGACTCGGATCTACACGATAGAATAAAGATACTGGGAGCGACATAAATATGTGGGTAATTACAAAGGGCAATTGTTTTTTATTCTTTCTTAATTTCTTAAAAAATTATTAACTATAAATAGCAAGAATAATAACAATGAATTTTTGAATTTATAACATATACAGAAGTAAATTATATGGAAACAATATAATTGAATGGGTAAACAGAATCATATTGTAAGGTTGTTACATTTTATATTATGTGGTACAATATTAATTCTAAGACTGTGTAAATTGAGGAAGCAGTACACTGTAATCTCTAGAACTGTGGTTCTCAAAATGTGGTCCTCCCTTTTAGGTGGTCCAGTAAGTCAACACCATTTCCATAATAATAATGGTATTTGCCTTTTTCATTGCGTTGACATTTAGACCGATGGTATGAAAACAATGGTGAATAAAACTGCAACTACCTTTGTATGAAAAAAGGTAGAGGCACTAGTGGTCATTATATTCTACACCACCATCCATTGGGTAGTAGAGAATACACTAACTTTTGTTTAAAAAAAATCAATTCATTGAAGAGTGTGCTTGATAAAGCAGTAAAAATTATTTTATAAAATACTGACCCTTGGGTACATATATTTTTAATATGCTTTGTGACAAAATGGGAAGCAACATAAAGTATTTCTGCTGCATACTGAAGTAGGATGACTGACTTGTAGAAAATCACTTGCACAAATGTTTGCATTGTGAACTAAACTATCTGCATTTTTTTCATGGAATTCTATTTTTACTTGAAAGAGCAACTGTAGACAAACTATAGTTATTCAGATGAGGGTATCTGGCAATCTTAAAAGTAAATGAAATGAACCTATTTAAGAAAAACATGTGACATGATTTGTTGCTAAAAATAAATTGTATGCTTTTGAGCAAAAATTAGAATTTTGGAAAAGTTATATCCACAACCATAAGTTTGCGAGTGTCCCAATACTTCGGGTCCTTTCATGATGAGAAGAGTGATGATATTAACAAATGCAATTTTTAAATATCGCATAATGAAATTGTCAGCATTTGGAAGACCTACATAAACATAGAACCAAACTTTTCCAAATTATTCATGCATGATGTTATAAAAAGGTGCATAGGTAAAAAATACTCTCAAAGTGCATGGTGTGCCAGTGGATTATAATATAGCACAGTACCAAAAGTTCATTAATATGTTTTTTGGGATATGGTTTTACATTCATATTGTAACTACGAAACTATCATATCTTAGTGGATTTAGTGGTAGTTTCTTAGTTACAATATGAAATATTGATAGTATAATATCAAGAAAAATACCTACAAATACCTTAAAAGGTTTTTAAAAAACTCCCTTCTTTCCCAAGTACATATCTGTGTGAGGACAAATTTTCTTCACATAATTCAACCTAAACAACATATCACAACATATTGAATGAAGAAGCAGATAGGAGAATCCAGCTTTTCTATTAACCTAGACATTAAAGAGACTTGCAAATATTTAAAACAATGCCACTCTTTGTACTATATTTTTGTGAACAGATATTTTCATTAAAATATGTGATTTATGTTAACATGTAATGGGTTTATTGCTGTTTTAAAGTGGATTAATAAATACTTTTAATGTTTCAGTTTTAATTTGTAATATGGAACCTATCAATAGATATAATCCACATAAATAAAAGGTCTTTGGGGTCCTCAGTGATTTAAGAGCGTAGGGTCTTGACACCAAAATGTTTTAAACTATTTAAGCTATAGAATAACATCTAAAAAATAAAGTAAACATAGTATAGCTAAAAAGCCAGTGGAAAAAGAAAAGAACAGATGAGACGAGACCAAACAAACAAAAAAGATAACCAAACAGACTGTATTAATTTACAATGCTACCAGTATTTAGTGTTACTTAAATTCTCTCTCTCAAAAGGTAGTGTATTGTTTATTTTATATTTCCTTTGTTGTTGTATATTTTCCCATATGCTCACATGTACTTCCTATCCGTGCCCCATTTATCCATATAACAAAAGGTCTTCATATTTTTTTTAACAATAAAGCAACTACTTAAATGTTAACCTTGATGTATGGCAGCAGAAAATCATTTGAATTGTCATAGTCATAGTACACATAGATCTCATTTCTATTAACTGCTACATTATTTTCCAATGTATGGATGTAACCATATATTTAATGGCTTTACTGAGGCATCATTGACATACTGTAAATTTCACATATTAAAATGCACAGTTGTGTAAGTTTTGATATATGTAGATACTCATGAAACCATTACCACACTCAAGATAATAAATACTTGTATGTTTAATTTTTTAAAGAAACTGCCAAGTTGTTTTCCAAAGTAGTTTTCCCATTTTATATTCCTACCAGCAGTGTGTGAAAGTTTCAGTTCCTCTACACCCTCATCAATGTTTGGTATGGTCAGTATTTTGAATTTTAGCTGTTCTAATAGGTATGTAGCAGTATTTCACTATGACTTTAATTTGAACTTTGTAATGATCAATGTTGTTGAGCATCTTTTCATGTACTTATTTACCATCTATGTAACTTCCTGGTAAAGTATCTGTTCAAATACTTTGCCCATTTTTATTGGTTTTGTTATTAGATTTTGAGAGCTTCTTATATATACTGATTATGAGTTTTTTATCAATAATAAATATGAACAAGCTATACTGGGGATGTAACATACAGCATGGTAAGTATAGTTAATAGTCCGTATTGTATATTTGAAAGTTGCTAAAAGAGTAGATCTTAAAAGTTCTCATCAAAAGAAAAAAATTTTTAACTGTGTAATGAATGTTAACTAGACATTGCAGTGATCATTTTGCAATATATACAAATATTGAATCATTATGTTATATACCTGAAACTAATATAATGTTATATGTCAATTATATCTCAAAAAATGCAAAAAAAGAGAACAAATTATTGATACATATAACATGGTAAATCTGAAAATAATTGTGCTAGTGAAAAAGGCCAGACAAAAAAGGGAGTACATATTCTATGATTCCCTATACATAATATATTGGAAAAAACTAACTCATAATGCATGATATGTTCTTTCCGCCTTCTTTCTTTTCATTCTATTATTCTACAGATAAATTATCTTGATACTCAACCTTACTCACAGACCTGTTTATCTTTCCCTGTAAGCTCCAGTTTAAAGGCTGAGTATATTTTTTCCAGTTTTCAGTAACCTGAGAATGTCAAGGTGGCAGGGAGAGGGGAAAACTCTGCTGGGTGGTGGCCAGTCTTTATGAGGGTCTGCTTCTTTTTCCTTTATTTTTTTGAGATTCATTAAGTCCTAAGCTAGGTTTCATTTACCTAGTTAGTATGTGTCCTTGGGCTTTGGGTAGTTTCCTTAAAAAACACAACAAAACAAAAAAAAAACCCATAATATTATTTATTTTTTTAAATCCTCATTCAAGGATATGTTTATTGATTTGGGGGTGGTGGAGATATTGACTGGTCGCCTCCCATATGCGCCCTGACTGGAGATCGAACCCACAACCTAGTAGATACCCTGATTGGGAATCGAACCCACTACCTTCTGGTATACCTCCAACCAACTGAGCCACTGGCCAGGGCAAGAAATCTTCCTTTATATGTCAATTATACTTCAAGAGAGCTGAAATTAAAAAAGAAAAAAGTAATCTTCCTCACTACGCCAAAACAGAAGTGATTTTGCATTGTTGCATTGTTCTTACAAGGCATATGCCTATATGCTTTATAAGAACATGCTGGGCCCTTACAATTTGCTGTCTTGTATTGCTAATTATCAAAGTTTCCTATAAATATCTATCTTCCCCCATAGAGGGTGAATTTCCTGAAAGGATGGACTAGCGTCACACCGATATAGGTTCTTCCTGGTATTTAGTGAGCAACAAGTACTGATTACACATTTGCTGATTCACAAGTACTTGTAGAGAAGAAGGGCCTTGGGGGCAGGAAGAGGATTCTACACAGAAAAGAGGCCCAGAGCAACACACTAGCAAATCAAAATCAGGGGTGAGCAGGGAGGGCCTGCAAGGACCACAAAGCTAAGGAAAGCACTTGAAAAGTTTAACTTTCCCAATTCCATTTGCAAAGAAATTAGAATTGGCAACTCTTAGGTTAGGATCAGTTTGCCTCAACCACGTAAGTGATCTGCATTACAAATCCTTTCTTGGCACTAAATAAAAATAATACCATTGGTGATGTTTAATATACATACATAATATCAGACCTAAGAAGATCACTCACCACATGTTGTGCTCAAAAACTTTAGCTGGGTCGGTTAAAATCCTTGATCCCAGAGGGACCGCTGGGTGATAACCAGTTTGGTATCTGCGAGGCACCTTTCTTATCCTTAGACAGGAAATAGAATTTCTCCAAATCCCATTCATCCTAATCAGTACCTAAAAAATTACAAACAGTTAATTAGTCAATATAGATTAAGCAGCGTATTGTTTACCTTACAGCCAAAAACTAGTCCAGTAGGTTTACCACCTGAAGAAAGACATGAAAACTAAGTACTTTTAAATGAAAGATGGGCATGATAACTTCTCTCCTCAAGTATTTTCAGACTACGAGAAGGAAAAAGACTATTTAGAGTGTGTGACATTGTCTGGCATTTGAAAAAAATTTTGATTTGAGAGGGGAAGAGAGACAGACAGATTTGTTGTTCCACTTATTGATGCATTCATTGGTTGATTCTTGTCTGTGCCCTGACTGGGGATCAAACCTGCAACCTTGAAATGTTGGGTTGACACTCTAACCAAATGAGCTACCCAGCCAGGGCCCTGGCTGTTATTCTTTATAAGCCACAGCCTAACCAACTGTGCTTTGTTTGGTATTTGCTTATTTAAAATTAGTATATGGCCAAAGAATGTAAGCCTAGAATCTGGATTTGTGTATTAAAAAGTTTTCTTAAGTAATTTTATTATTTTTGTTTTGGAATTCTAGGAAAACATGTTTCTAGGGGATATTTTGTGACCACTAGACCAAAACCCTTAGTAGCAGAATAAGTAAATAAACCTATTGTCTCATTCCCTGGGCTGAGCTAAATACTATAAAAAATATTCAAAAATTTAAGGAAGTACTGTATTAAGATATGATCTCAGCAATTCTTAACTCTAACAACCCTGTATACATATACTTTGAAGAACAGTCAGTAATACATTTGCAAAATAGCTTTCCCTGTACAAAACACCTGCTTTAATTCTAGCTCATTAGTTGACTAGCCAAATCCATCCCCATTTCTGGAAGAATAAACATTTAAATAGTATGTCATCTTAATTATGTATTGGCAAATATGTCAGTTTAAAGTGTTTATGGAAAAGTATCAAAAAGAAGCTCTACAGAGTGTACTTTTTCTGGTAAGTATCCATTGTAATACTGCTCAGCACTTCACTCCCATTCAGTTGTGCATCACAACATTCAGCCTAATGCTGTAAGCTGTCAGATAGAAACAGATGCTCTGAGGTGTGTGTACATAATACACATTAGAGACTACCCAAGGTGCTATTAGGCATAAAAATGACATGTATTGTATACCCTTTACCACCTTATTGAAAGTCAATGGGTTTTAAGACCATGAATTCAAAAATGAACTGCAGAATGTCAAAAACATCTTGTATTTTTGTACATAAAACTCAAGATATTCCTTTTGGAAAAAAAATAGGCTTAGTTATACACACCAAAAAGACTGTAATGGTTCTAAATGTGACTAACAATGATGAGAAATGAAACATTCAATTGCTAGCGCTAATCTCCTGTTTCTTGTTTGTTTTTCCTTTTCCACTGAACACAAGCTTTTTGGCGGAAGCGAATGAAGTTAAATGTTCCGCCTACCACTACCTTTCCTCTGATGTGCCTTTGTTCTTTTCTCCTGCCAGTATGCCACGTAAGACTAACAAAACCTTACTTGCACAGTTGTTTTTAGAGCTCTCTTTTTGCACTGAACACTACTCATAAAATCTTCTGTATGTTGAAAAGTAGACACTGATTACACCTAGAAAGAGAGGTAATTCATGCTCAAAAATGTAAAATGATGTAAACGTATTCCACCCAGGAAAGTCAAATCAAAATGAAATTTCAATTCTTCAAATAATCATAGGATGTTTTTCCATATCTACATATAAAAGAGGAGGAAGAGGGAGAAAAGTATATATGAGTTTCACTTACTATAAATTATGAAGAATCTCTATAGACAGTTGGAGACAAAAATTCCTAACCAGGCTGGATATGAGGCAGGCAGTTCAGGAAGGTATCAGAGACGTGTGTGCCTTGCAGGCTGCCAGCCTGTACAGAGAGTATAGTGTAGCCAGGACCTAAATATGTGACAATTTGTCTTGCTTAGGCAGCTGTTTTTCTAATTAACTACATAAGCATCTTTATCTATTTTATTATTTGTAAATGTCACAGCCTTGCACTACTCTTTATCTTTTTTATTATATAAATATACAAGTTCATATAATAAATATAATACAAATACATAGTACAATTACATAGACACCTTCTCAAGTAAATTGCAAGCTCTGAAGGGTGTCATCAAACTGCTCATGAATTATTTGACTGGTTACACACACAAAAAAATGATTCTTGTCTGACATAAATTTAATGGAAAAGAGGTTACTTCACATTGTCCAGGGTGGCTCCTACGCTCTTTACAGTATGGAAAAAGGAAGAGGCAGAAGAGTATACTGGCAGCTATCCAGTTATATTGACCATAGTGATTAAGAAATATTTGCTTCATGTTATGGCTATCATGGTAGCATAATATTTACCAGGCCATGGTGGTAATATTTTGTGATGGGAAAAGAAGGGCAGGGTTAGCCAGAATTCTGGTGGAGAAAGTTGGTTTCTGCTACCAGAGTGTCCCACTCTCTTTATGTACCCTCTTAACCGTCTTTTGGCATACCCTAATTTGAATACAGGTTTAACTAAGATATTACTGCAAAATGAAGTTGAATGGGTAAGTAGTATTTTTATGTGAAATAACACAAAGAGGTACTGTTCAAAATATTCCATTCACCCAAAAGAAGGCAGGAAAGGAAGGACAGAAGAAAAACAGATGGGACAATTAGTAACCAAATACCAAGATGGCATATTTAAACCCAACCATATCAATAATTACATTCAATGTAAATGGTCTCCAATTAAAAGACACATTTTCAATATGCATAAAAAAGCAAGACCCAACTATATGTTGTCTATAAGAGAAGCACTTTAAATATAAAGATACAAATAGATGAACATTTTAAAAAGGGATATCATGCAAATAATGTATGAAAAATACTGGTGGAACTGTATTAATAGACAAAATAGATTTTTAAAAAAGACAATTACAGAGCTAAAATGGGACATTTAATAATGATGGGCCAATGTCAAGACATACTAATCCTAAATATGCATGTACATAATAACAAAGCTTTAAAATCCATGAAGCACAAATAGAACTTTTTAAAAGAAGAAATTAACAAATTCATAATACTGCTTGGAGATTTTAATATTCCTCTCTCGGCAATCAGTAAATGTCAACAAAAATCAATAAAGATATAAAAGATTTGAACATTAGCAACTTAAATGACACTTATGGAAAGAACACTACATCTCTGTCCTGGCTGGTGTGGCTCAATGGATTGAGTGCCAGCCTGAGAACCAAAAGGTTGAAGGTTCAATTCCCAGGAAGGGCACATGCCGGGGTTGCAGGCCAGGTTCCCAAGCTGGGGATGTGTGAGAGGCAACCAATTGATGTATCTCTTGCACACTGATCTTTCTCTATCTTTCTCCCTTCCTTCTCCTCTAAGAAGTAAATAAATAAAATCTTAAAAAACAAAAAGGAGGAGTGCAAAGGGGAAAAAATTGAGACAATTGTAATAGAATAAACATAATTTTAAAAAAAGAAAGAACACTGTATCTCTAATGACAGCAGAATACATATTCTTTTCAAGTGAACATGGACACTCACCAAGGTAGACTATATAGCTTAGGCTATAAAACATATCTCAATAAAATTCAAAGTATTAAAATCATACAGAGCCCTGGCTGGTGTGGCTCAGTGGATTGAGCTCTGGACTGTGAAGCAGAGGGTCGCTGGTTCAGTGAGGGCACATGCCTGGGTTTCTGGGTCAGGTCCCCAGCTGGGGGCATGTAAGAGGCAACTGCACACTGATGTTTCTCTTCCTTTCTTACTCCTTCCCTTCTCCTCTCTAAAAATAAATAAATAAAATCTTTAAAAATAAATATATAAAATCTTTTTAAAAATCTTTAGCTTTCTGACCATAATAATATTAAGTGTTAATATTTTAAGTGAATTTACTTATAATAAATATCCTTTTTTATCTCTGGCAATAGTAATTTTCTTGAATTGCACTTTGTCTAATATTAATATAAACCCATCAGCTGTCTTATGTACCGTTGTATATGGTATATCTTTTTAAAAAATGTATTTGTGTGTTTACATTTAAAGTGCTTCTTTCACAGAAGCATATTGTTGATTTTTGTTTTTTATCCAAACTTAAAATAATAAGCTATCTAGAAAAATTTTAATAGTTTTCTAGATATCTTATTTCTAAATATTTAGAAATTAAGCAACACATTAATAATGAGTCAAAGATTTACTTGAGTTAGTGAAGGGTAAGGTAAATTATAAAATATATTAACTGAACAATAATGAAATCTTAAAACATCAAAATTTAGAAATTTTGTGCAAGTTCACTACCAGAAATAAAACAGAAATTTACTTGTGAGAATGAGTTTTGCTGTTAAGTGCTGTCAAATCACGTCTTTCAACAATAGAATTGCCCAAGAATTTGGATTAATTTTCTCACAGAATATTATTCAATTATACAGTTATCTTCATTCTTTATATATATAGTCTTGCAAGGTTAAAAAGAATCAAAATTTATGGGGTATAACCAAAGCAATATTTAGAGGAAAATTCATAGTTTTAAATGCTTCTATTAGAAAGGAAGTAAGATCTCAAATCAATGATCTCATCTTAAATCTTAAGGTAGAAAATACTAAATTAGATAGAAAGTAAGTAGAAAGAAGGAAAAAATGAAAAGCAGAAATCAATGAAATAGAAAATGGATAAAACAGGGAAAACCCAAGTCAAAAGTGGGTTCTTTGAAAATATTTTAAAAATTAATAAACCCTTGGCTAGACCCTTGGCAAATATCTTTGTTGCAGAAAACACAAATTTCTAATAGCAAGAATGAAAGGAAACATCACCACAGACCCTATAGGTGTTGAAAAGCTACAAAGGAGATATTATAAACAATTTTATTCCATTTATTAGATGAGACAAATGCCTTGAAAAACACAATTTACCAATAACAATATACCAAAACAGCCCAAGAAAAAATTTAAATAGCCCTAAATTCATTAAATAAGTTAAATTTGTAATTGAAAG